GAGCCTTTTTGTCAATATTCATGTTGTTTTTGAACCTAATGTTTGTCTATGAGTGTTGATTTTTCTTTTTGAGTAGACATTGATTTTTTGTTTTCTTGAACCCTTAACTATGATTTATAGTTTGAGTTTTTGCCTTGACTTAGAAAGTATGGAGTATTCATATTATGATGATGATTGAATTAAAGTTGAGGAGAGGAACGTTTATGTGTTCATGTTGTAATTTCTATGAGGTTGTAAAAGAAAGAAAAAGAAAAGAAAAAAAATTTGTGAGAAAGAAAAAGAAATAAAAAATTCAAAAAGCTTTGGAAAAAAAATAAAAACAAAAAGAGTTCAAATAATTGTGTGAATAATTATTGTGATTGGTTTGAGAAATTTGGAATGAAGAAGAAGTTTGATTTAAATTATGTTGCTTGAGTCTTTGTGAGTTGATCACTCTCTTAGTTTAAGGCAAGTTTTTATTTAGATTAGCTTTAGGACTTATTCCTTGTTTGTTAACCAAGCCACATTACAACCTTGAAAAGTCCTTGTGATTCTTGCTTTTATGTCTTCAACATGAATTTTTGGATGAGTGTATAATTTAATCTTTTGTTTGCAAGGTTGTTGGATGTGTGAAAATACCTCATTTTTGTGTTTTTGTCATCTATCGATGATTGATTTTGCTAGGTGTGATTCATTTGTGAATTAGTGTTGTTTTAGAATGTTTGGCATGATTTTTGTATTTAGCATTTGTTTTGTGTTTATGTTATAGTCATAGTTTAGTGGTAAGTGTTTACTTTGTGTGTATTATTTTTCATTTGATTCATTGCATTTATTTTTCGTTTTCAAAAATCTTATCAGTTCGTGATTCTTTGGTTGATCGTTTTTGTTTCTTCGAGTTGTTTGTTTCTTGTTTGAGGACAAACAAGTTCAAGTTAGGAGAGTTTGATAAGTGCAAATTATATTTATTTTTGTATATGTTTTTTGTTGCACTTATCGACTCTTTGTTGTTAATATCAGTTGAATAACCCAAATTTGTGTATAAATATGTTTAGTTTGTGTATAATGCATTTTTGGTGTACATAGTGTATCGATTGATAGTTTTGTATTCATTTTGTAGGTATTTGAGCATTGTTGGAGCAAGAGGAATGAAAGCTCCAAGATGCATTGTTGGATCAATAAAGGAATAAGGACGAGAAGAGAGAGTCATTGGAGTTATGCAGGAAGAATAACAAAAGTTGTTGTTCTGGTGTGCCTCGCCAGGTGAAGCCTAGGCGAGTAGCCTTTGCGTCTGCCTCGCCGGGCGACAGAGGGGCGAGAGGGAAAGGATCATTTTTCTAGTAACCAATGACTTGGGCTCGTCAGCAGCTCGCTGGGCGAGAAATAAGGATGTCATAGGGAAAAGCTTCCCTTCACCGGGAGAGGGTAGATATCTTCCCCAGTTGCGTACGTGGCGTAACCTGGGCCTTGTATTTAAGGGTCTTCGTTGGGCGAAGCTTTTATGTCGCTGGGTGACGCGTGTGGACCAGATTTTTGTATATATTTATATTTCATTTCTTTTGTAAGGATTATTGTTTTGGGGATGGTTTTTTATCTCCCAATTCCATCAGCCTCATATTTTTGATAGATTAGCTTAGAAAATAACACTAGGGCTTTGCTTATGGATGATTAGAGGTGGGTTTCTCATTGATTGGTGCTGAGAAACCGGAATATTTGTTGTTTATCTTTTTTTCTCTTTATGTATTTTTCTTTTGTTGGGTGTCGTATGTATATTTACTTTGATCTTATGTATATTTGTCGCCCATGGTGTTATATTTAATTTGCTTTATAAATCTTTGTCGACTGTTGTCTTGGATTTTTGCTCTGTGCTCGGGATTTGGGTTGTTATAGACATATACTGCTTAAATTCTTATCTAGGATGATTGTCTGTTAGTTTCTAGATTCTAGAGATATATTTAGAGCTGACATTCACTTGGGTGTCTGTGATTAATGCATATGTGTTGGTTATGTCGCTCTGAGAGATCGTCGACGCGATTAGCATGGCTGACTTCTGTGTTGCCGACGTGTTGAGAGATCGCTACCGAGGTGATACAGCTGGCCTCTCAATTTGGGTTAGAAATGACTTAGGTTGTGAGTGATATGTGGTGACATTGACGAGTATTGTAGGTTAAGTATAACTGGACGATATATTTAAGTTTTTGAAGAGTAGTGTACATTCGTACCAGATAAGTTTGTCTTTCCTTTTCCTTTTTATACATTTATTTTCTGTTGATAACTTTTACCCTTTCCATTCAACCTCCAAACTCATTAACGAATGATTTATCAAACAACGACTCGATAATCAATCTCTGTGGACAAGATATGATATAACCTAAATATCACCCGGTAAAATAATACTTTACTTTTTGCTTGCCGCTTTACCGCTTCAACAATACCCTGAGTAGGCATCCATGAAACTCAATGTTTTGTAACCAGAAGTTTTGTCAAACATGTTATCTATGTATGTTTGGGAAATGATCTTGATATTTGGGGCATGCAACATTAAGGTTAGTGAAATCAACGCATATATGTAATTTGTTTGATGTCTTCCTCACCAAGTGAACATTAGACAACTACGAAGGATATTTGACCTATGTGATGAAACTAACACTTGTTAGCTTTTGAACTTCTCCATCAATGGTTATTTTCTCACTAACCTTGCGCTTCCTTTAGGACATTGTCTTGATTGGGGGGGGGGGGGGGGGGGGGTCTATGGTGAAGCGATTACATACCATTATGGTATCTACGTCGCAATGTCTAAGGGCGCCCTAGCGAACAATATGATGTTCTTTCTGAGTAGGGTGATCAAATCCTCTTCTTCTTACTTGAACAATGAGGTGCCTTGCTTTGTGACTAGGTGGTGCAAAGGCCCAATATAGACTTCTTTTAAATATTCTGTTGGGGTAAAACTTTCACTCTCTTACCCCAACCTAGGGTTCCATTTCGTTGTACATGTGTCATGTATTTCTAGACATGGGATGACACCCAAGGTAAGGGGTTCCCTCATTATTTCCAAGCTATTCTTGTAACATTCTTAGGCGATCGTGTGATCTCTTATGATAGTACCTAGGTGCTCGTTGGGTATTAGATATTTAAGGCTTAAATGAAAGTTGGACAAGACTGCTCTCAACAGGATAAGAGTAGGTCTTCCTAGTATGGCATTGTAAGGGGGGGTGGCGTCAACCACAAGATAGTTCACTTTGATGGTTCTGGTGCTTGCCCCTGAGCCGAATGTTATTTCAAGAGTAATGTGGCCATTTACTTGCCCCTACTCGCTTGAAAGGCCAACCAGGGATCCTTGGAAAGCTTCAATGATATTAGAATAAAGATGGAACCCGTGGAAGACGCTTCCATAACAGGATGTCTACCGAATTTCCAAGGTCAGTCAACATTTGATTTATATCCCAATTGGCATACTGAATTATGATGACCATGAGATCATTATGGTAGGGGAGAACATATACTATGTTTTTTTTCTCGAAAACGTGATTTCGGGTTCTCAGTCCTTGCTTGAGGCTCGGAGAGCCTTAGCGGGGGCGATGTTTTCTATATTAGCACATGTCGGACGTAATGTCTCTGGGAGGAGTTAGATTCCTCCTGGGGAAACCTCCGACAATGGTGTAGAAGGTCTTCTAGGAACTTTGCTCAAACATCCTCGTGAGAAGATGGTGAAAGCAACAATTAGTAAATGATTAGTGTAGTCCATGTTAGTTTTACTAGGCCTCACGGTGGTTGCGAATTGTACTCGTCAAAAGTACAAATGTGTGATACTCTCTAGTGATTAAAGACTATCACATACTTTAAGGTTATTGTGAGGTTGACACCCAACTCACATGGGATGAGAAGCTATGTAAGAATGTATTTCTATGTTAGATCTAGGTCCTTTTCTACCGCAATATTGAGGCATTTTATAGCCTCCTTGGGTCTAGATCCCAAAATTTCTCGAGATATAACAACAACTCCGTGGATAAGTACTTGATTCCCTGACATTCACAAAACACAGTTAATTTCCACGACTCCCATTATGTCATTGTTAACTCAATATACGTTACTTGCACGACCACACGTTATGGACAGAGAAGCGAATGATCCAAACAACATATCCGAAGAAAGGACACTATCTAAAAGAGGAACGCTCAAACCAACAAAGAGACTATATGAAAATAACGGTAGACAAAGTGTATACCTTGGCCAAGCCCGTATAAACTCTTCCGATTACACCAATTTTAACTTTCTACCTTTTATACCAATTTCAAAGTTTAAAAAAATGACATCATAATTAACATGAGTATTTTGATACTCATACATCATTTCTCAACCATTTAACATGGGAGCATACATACTTTAACTTTTACCGGTAACATTCGTAAAAACTGGCATTGCTGAGATCACAATAATGTGTCCTTATTAAAACCACACAATGATTCACCTGAACCAACCCATCATTCTTCTTCTCTAAATTTCAAACCAAAAAAAAAAAACCACCTATCCTCAATCATACAAGAAGAAAAAAACCCACCAACCAGTTACTCCAATCAAAACCGCTCTCTTCCTTTTCTCTCCAACAATTTCATTGATCTCTGCAACAACTTCAGACCTAATCATGGAACACTGAACTATAGTGCCTTATTAAAGGTACATTGAAAACGATACATAAAATAAATAAAAACAGCCCCACCACACCACTATTGTTCCACACAGTAATAATTTACGGTGAAAAAGGAATCCAAAGTAACCAAAAGAACCAACAAAATTACAAACTCTTATTTTGTTCTGTTTTCTCTGTTACATGCATGTCTTGGTCCTTTTGATCATGACTACTCACACTCTCTTTCCATCTCTTTTTTCATGATTCTATTCTCACAAACTCATCGAAAATAACGGGGAAGAAAAAGTTACCATCTTGAATTATTTTGTATTTCTCACTTTTTGTAATTTTTAATACAATTTTGTTTTGTAACAGTTTGTAAGATTAAGCTGCTACAATGGAGGATTCTTCTGGTTCAAAGAGAAACACTTTATCTTTCTTTAGTTCTCCCAAGTTGTTTACGAATTTTACCTCGAAAGGTTTTCATGAAACGGAAACAAGTATGATGAGTCCAACTTCGATTCTCGATAGTAAAACTTTTAATGGTTTCAGAAAGAATCATTTTTGGTCTGAATCGAGAAATAGTGTTGGAAAACAAGAACACAAACGTTGTTGTTGGGAAAAACACGAGTCAAAGGTTGTTGTCGGTCTTGGTTTAGTTGATGTTCTTGTCGACGATGAGAAAAACAGTGAAGTGAATTCGAAGGTGGAAAACAGAACGGTTCTGTTCGGATCTCAGTTGAAGATTCAGATCCCGTCTTTTTCTTCTTCATCTGGAAATCCTCATATGGGTTCTTCTGACGGAAGCTTTGCAGTCTCTCCTGTTGGAAAATCTTCATCTGGGTGTGGTGGTGGTGGTGGTGGTGGTGGTAACTCTGGTGTTGAAATTGAGAACATGAATTCTGGTAATGGAGTTTTCAAAGGGTGTGTTTCTGCAAGTGAAATGGAGCTTTCTGAGGATTATACTCGTGTGATTTGTCATGGCCCGAATCCGAGAACAACTCATATATTTGATAATTGTGTAATTGAGAGTAGTTGTTTTGATTTTGGATGCTCTGTTTCTGTTAAAGAGAATGAGTTTTGTTTTCATAATTTTCTCACTTTCTGTTTTTACTGCAACAAGAATCTTGACCAGGGTAAAGACATCTACATGTACAGGTAATTGCTTATTTTTTAATCTTTAATTTAACTCTCATGGATCATAATATTCTAAGGACTCTTTTATTTGTTGTATTGTATTTTGCAGGGGTGAGATGGCATTTTGCAGCCATGAATGCCGTAGCCAGGGGATGTCCATATTGGAAGCCAAGGAAGTTCACGAGACATAATTCCACCAAAACAAAAACATTTCAACCTTTGCTTCAAAGGGCTTAGTAAAAATAACACCCTTTTCATTTTTAGTTTTCTAGGATATGAGATAGTCCTAAAAAGGTTTCTCAACTCAATCTTAGTTGCAAAAAAGTTTGAGAGAATTTGAAATGGTGAGAAACTTGTAAAGTTGATTTTATTTTTTGAAATGAATGATTGGATTTTGATGTTGGGTTCTTGTCCATATTATTTTTTATCATTTTAATGGTGATGATGATAATTTTCTATGACTCAAGGTTACATTATTAATTTTGATAAAGTACTCAACATTAATAATGTTATAATCACTCCTATAGGAGTAGGACCCATGACATTATTTGAAGTAGAATCTTTTACTTTGTTTATTGTTTGATTTTTGTCCTTTTAGTATGTTTTGTTGATTATATAAGAAGCTCATTGTACATGCATTGAGTATGACACTTGATGTATGTTTTGCTTTAATGGGAGAATTAGATCAAAAGCATCAATTTATGATCATTATTTCAAGAAAATTATAACATTGGTAAGGTAGTTATGTATCCTTGTTGTTTGTTCATATTATTTATTTTAGGATACAGTATATTACTTCCTCCGTCTTAAAATATAAGAAAAATATATATATTTTTCTTGTTCAAAAATATAAAATAAAAAATCATTTTCATTTTTTTCAAGAAAAAATTAAATGTAAAATATATATAGTTTAGATTATCTCTCATATTTTTTATAATTAACAACCAATTAAAATTATTTTTACATTTTTTTAAACACTTTATTTTAAGAAAAATATAAGTCAAATAATTATATTTTTACTTTTTTTTAATAAGTTTATTTTTTTTTCTCTTATATTTTAGAAGGGAGAGAGTAGATAACATCTTTGTCTTTTTCCTTCCCATTGTATGCCATTTTTAAAGGACGAGTTAGGTTAAAGCAAATTTTGAAAGAGTTTATTTCTATTTATTTTGTGGTAGTAAGTATTTACATTAATACATAGATATAGTTATAGGAAATAATTCATATTATTTTGTAATAAGCATCTAATATAGATAGATAGGGGTCCCCGTAGGTGGTCCTATTATTAAAATTAGGCCAAATTCTAGGGTGCAAGATGACATATTTTTATTCGATAACGAGAGGTTTATTATTGGATTCATATTAGGATTTAGGAGTTTCCATTTATAATTTGTCAAATTATATTCAGTGTCTTAATCTTTAAACAAGATATATAAGAAAAACGAATATAGTAGTAACTATTATGTATAAAATATCTTTGTAAATTAACCTATATGAGCTATTCATCTTTGAAAAAAACCGTCCAAGTACTTGTGAAGTGAACTAGATATGGCCACTTCTGAGAGGTGATGTTGTTTGTGGTTTGTTGGTTTGGTAGGGGTGAGACCTATAAGTACTATATATGTTGCTCAAGTAAGTTTTTATCCATGTAAAATGTATTTTATGTAAAAAGTTTGTATTTTAATTGGACATTCAAATATTTTTTATAGGAGTTTTTTAAGGTTTTTGTTCGACTGAAATCTTTTAATTAATATATTATTGTTCAAATATAAAAACTTTAATTAAAGTATTATGTCATTTAAAGGTAGAGCATTTCTATCCCATGTTATTGATTTGACGTCATACTAGCGTGTAAGTTGGATGACATTTTAGCTTTATTTACTCGTACTCTAGTTGTGTTGGACAACACATGTGTATTGAAATAATTTAATTAGGTTTAATAGAAAACAATTCAAATGGAAGCAACATAGGTCATATATAATGGCGTTTGACGAGCACAAGAGTAGCGCCATAAGCCACCTGATGTTGCGCCATTGGTTGTCCATGGTTCGTAATAACTCGCTTATATTGGCCTTGGGCCGCCTAAACTATTTTGTCACTTACCCACATATTAAATTGTGGGTAGTAAAGTGTCCCTGCATCTGCTGACAAAACGGGATAGTCGAATAGGGAAACAACCCTCCACGATTCAAAGAAGGATGAAACCCACTCTCTCCATGTTTCATAGTGGAGTTAGAATAAGTCAATATATGGTTCTTTGACCTATGCCCAAGGAGGTTGTCTCGTAGTATGTCCACACACCATGCTTGCTGTCAACCATTAATCATCCAAAAGACAAGGATTCTAGAGGCCTTATGGCAAAAGGACTCTCAGACACACTTAGGTCAAACTACCTTTTTTTCACAACCAGGAGAATGCTTCTGACTAGAATCTACAGAGGATTTTCTTCACTATTAGATCTGATCTGATTTGTATATATTCAGCCTTTATCACTCAAAATCAATTCTTCAAAGGGAAAGTCGCTAGATGCTGACCTGACACTTACTTCTGATTCTGACTAAGGCTTTCAAAATCTTTTACTTCCTCAGAGTTTGAATATTCATTAAATCTATAGAATATATATAACTTTTATTCTTCAAAATCAAGCTTAACAACAAACAATAGGGATTTGAATCATCATAAATGTAAAATTTGAGTGTTAGATATCCTTGTAGCCTTTTTGAGCTTTCAAGTGTATCTTAACATGATATGTTACAGAGTTCTCAGAATCAAACTTGTTAGCATAAAAAAATTTAAACAAGATGAAGAGAGAAGGATGATTACCAATAAATCATAAGGATTATGCTCTTCAGAGTTCTTTAAGGAGTCACCGAAAGCTTGGGACTTTATATCCACATCTTGAGATATAAGTTTTCTTTTCCATCATATGAGTCTTCATTTTAGTCTCCAGAGTTGACGTCTCAACTTGACTGCTTACGTACTAGTCATTAATGACTCGTTGATTTGATCTTTAGAGTCATCTCTTGTAGTTTCCTGGCTTACTGCTCAAGACTTATTTGATCTTTATGACTAGTCTTGTCAGATGTTGGCAACAGACATCTGCCTGGTCTTCTATAGCTTATGAAAACCTTATGTATTTGCTTCTAAAGTTTCTTGATAAAGTCTGGTTAACATATACACTTTTTCTTTTTATTGTCAATACTGGGTGAAGGATTAACTTCTAATGTGTTTCAAAGAATGGATCTTTTTCTGAAATGATTAAGTGTTTGATGAAAATCAATAATAGAGTCAGCCTCTGTTACCAATTAAAGGTTCAATGAAACACAAGAAAGGGGGGTTTGAGTTGGGTTTCTAGAATTAAATCTTTACGAACACCCAAAGATCAAACAATGCTCATGGACAAAGTAAACAATAATAAAACTACACAAGTATTTTTATCACGGTTCACTATTAATTAGGTTATTTCAGTCCACCCATCTGAGTGATTTTGCCTTATCCAAGGACTTAATCCACTAATCTGTCGTACCCCAAATTTGTCCTACCTTGATGATTTTATTTTTCGAGATTAAAATAGAATAAATACTTAATTAAAGATGGTACGACAGTATCTGATGGCCCATCTTTATCCAAATTGACTAGGGGGTGTATTTTAATCAGGGAGAGTGGGGATTTCTAAATTAGAAAGACTCATAAATTCGTTCGCGAAGCATGTTAGCCAATGGGCCCATGCATTTCGAAAATAAAAAAAATCATCCGAGTAATTAATAAATTATTAGTTTATTAAAACTACTTAGGTTCAATTTGCTATTAAGTATCTAAGCCCCTTTACATTTAAGTGGTTGTTAGTAAAATAGGAGGTGAAATTTCAATAAACGAGCCCATTGTGTTTGACCCATCTCTTTTGGGGTTTGAATAACAAAGAAATGGGGTGAGATTACAAACTGCAAGTCCATTAAGATTTCTAGCCCATTTGATGTTGTTGTTTTATTTTAAAAGAGAAGCATTATTATTAAAAAAAAAAGAAACTTCTTGTTATTATATATATATATATATATATATATATATATATATATATATATATATATATATATATATATATATATATATATATATATATATATATATAATAATAATGTTTTTATATTATATAATCTATTAAGGATTTTGTTTTAAAGGAAGATTTGTTGGGACAAGCTGGTAAATGTAGGTGTTTTAGTATTGGCTTGCATTTTTGGTAAATTCCAAGTGTATGTGTGAATGTCATGACTGATGTCATAACATTCTAGTTCAGGTTGTACTAACTCTTTAGGTACATATGCAGAAAAATATTGTAACTCAAATACTGATGTTTATAAGTGTGTATCTGAGCATGTTTGCAAAATGATCACATTTAGCTAATCAGTAGACAGGTTTTCTCAGATGTCATAACAGATGTTATGACATCCTGTTCTGAACTAGCAGGATTACAGGATTGGATAAGTCTGAGTTTTTTCAGGAAATAACTCAGTCCTTCCTAAACAGAATCCTGCGTTTTCTGAGGAGTAACCTCGCTCAATCCTAACCTGATCAACAAAGTACTGTGACCTGGTCATTAGGTCAAAAGGAATCAACCCTAGGTTTTTGGAAACCCTAACTGAAGTTGCAGCTGCTATATATTCAACAGAGCTGCGGTTTTTGAAGTGATCCCTGCTGATTGATTAGAAGATCAAGTTTGTAATCTGTATAGATTTGTTTATTGTACTCCAAGCAATTATCATTGTGATAAGTGTCTTGGAATAGGTTTCAATTGTAAGGGTTGTGTAGCACTCAAAGCTTTGAAGCAAGAGTGTTTGAATGTTACTTGACTAAAGCTGTGAAGCAGAGTCAAGTTAGTTGTGTACATCACTCAAAGCTGTGAAGCACGAGTGATTGTGTTACTTGATTAAAAAGCTGTGAAGCTTAATCAAGAGTGTGTTTTGAAGAGTGTCTTCATCAATTCTCAAGTCAAATTGGTTTATGTATCACTGCTGTGATTGAGGGGGAGTGAGTAGGAACTCAGGTTTAAGTTGTACTTAGATTAGAATTGCATTGGGTAGGTCTTAAGTGAAGGAGATAAACTGGTTGGTTTATTCCTGAATTAACATCTCTTATAGTGGATTCTCTCCCTGGCTTGGTAGCCCCCAGAGTAGGTGTTGTTGCACACTGAACTGGG